CGGAAGAGAACAACCAGCGTCATAGCAATTTACGAATACGTTACATGAATACGGTGAATGTGTAGAAATAAATAATCTCAATTACTCCAAGTCCTCGACATGACGGAACAGAAAACAATTGTAGGAAAAGGACAATTTTCAAAGTCCTCATTAAATCCGAGTGACGACTAGTATACTCATCTACGTAGACAGTAATTATTCATTAAAAACTCATTAACAATCATTCAGGATCAATTTGGCAAGGAGCATTATGATCAGGATTTATTCGGGCAGAATTATTATTCACGATTAATTTGTCCATTTTTTCCAGAACTAAATGACGTAACACTGCCAGCTGATTATCAAAATTATCCTAAAATTATTTGATTCTAATAATTACAGGTAATCGGTGCACTCACCTCAGTGCTGTTAATATGGGTGGTAACAGGAATTCTGTTTTATCTGGCAATTGAGAGGATTGTCAATAAGGATTTTGAACTGGATGCTGAAGTCATGCTCATTACGTCTGCAATTGGTGTTGCTGTTAACCTAGTGTAAGTATATTTTTCCTGCATTTTATGATTTAATTTAGTTTAATTCCTTGTTTTAAAAGTTCAAGATTATTATCGCTATTGATACGACTGCAATAAGACAATTTAATAATGATGGTAATAACAATTCATTAATGACTATGTAATACCGCTATAATAATTAATTGAACTAAGAAAGTAACAAGTGTATCCGATCAACTCAAGACTTGATCGAAGAAGAAATCGGAGTGTTCCAGGATAACGCAATCCAATATTCAATAGAATATTATTTTCCATTCGAAATTAGATAATATTCTTCAGATAACTAAGAGCATTTGAGATGAAAAGATTAGGCCATTTCTTTTCTTTCACCTTTCTACAAAGGACAGCCAATTGTACTGTGAAGCGATGGGATAAGTTAATGCACATTTTAACTATTACGTCCATAACTCTCTTACTAAATCCGTTTAGTAAAAGGGACGCATCAAATTGATTATTTATTAGTTTATGAATTTAATTATGCCTTTTGGAGTCGATTTTTATTCAATGCATTAAAGTTTTGAGCACTATCCATTAACTCATCCTCAAAATCATGCCATCATGATCCATAAGTCATACAATGTCATATTGCAGGAATTTTTAAAGATTTTTTTCCTGCATAAACTTTTTTTTCGTTAAAACGAAAGTCTCTGATTTATGATTTGCAGAATCTATTGTCTTTAGTAATTTAGTGTTTAACCACGTAAAATTTTATTTATTATTATTTTGATTTTCTCCCCTCTACGTTTTGTCCCTTAATATTGAATTTCCGTCACCGTTAGCCGTGGGATTCCCCAGTATTTGCAGTCACACCCCCTCTTATCTGTACCCCTTGAACGATACCACGAGAGGACCTGAAGAAGGAACTCTCCATCAGTTATTTAATACAAAGTCTGTCACCTTGAGGAATTTAGGATAAATGTCTGACAATGTGCTTCCTTCGGAGACGCTCCTAAGTCTTACTATCTCTAACGCCCGTAATTATTCTCATAATGAAACTAATGAATAACGAATGGTCCACGCAGAAGTGCACGAATTTTAACGGAATTAAGGAGATGACCGACATCTCTTTTTTCATGTTTTTTTGTAAATCTTTGAGATTCCGTGAGTCAGATTACCGTAAAAAAATATAAAATTTCTAGGTTTTATTATTATTGACTGAATCGCAAATTCTCATAGTCGCGCAGCTATTTTTAAAAATTTTCTCCAAAGGTTTGGAAAGAATAAAATTAAAAAATGGTAAATCTTTGAGAAAATGAGAAGAAGTCGACGATAACTCCTTAAACAGAGAAACTAGGTCATGTGATTAGAGCGCTGAGTTGGTACGCGGAGAACTAGGGTTCGATCCTGAGGCATGAAAAGCCCGAAAAAGAGGATTTTATAATCCTCTAATATACACGAGATCTACTGCGCACTCCGTGCGCCGAATTCGAATTGCGACTTCGGATTCGAGTTGACCAATAAGGAATCAGTCTTACGAGTTTCGACTCAGGCGAACTTCATTTACGTATCTCTGCTTTCATGATAAAGATGATTTGATCATCCAATCCATTAGTCCCGAAAGAGTTTTAATCAATGTTTTTTCCCTGAGATTTTTCTTCGAAGCCATCGGCGCAATTGTGGTACAGGCAAGATGGGGAAGGGAACGAAATGGAAAAACTCAAAAGAGTATACATGTGGAACAAATGAAATCAAAACGAATGTAATGCGTGTTCGATAATACTGATTGTCATAAATAATTTTTTTTTAATGATTGTTTTAGAATGGGTTTAACACTTCATCAACACGGCCATAGTCACGGTGGCGGCCATGGTCATAGTCATGGTGGCGACCATGGTCATAGTCATGGTGGCGGAAAACACCAAGGTGATGACAAAAATATAAATGTTCGAGCAGCATATATCCATGTTCTAGGCGATTTCATTCAAAGCACGGGTGTCCTTGTAGCGGCCTTGATTATTTATTTCAAGGTAACTGATGAAATTATATCTTGTTTTTTTATCTTATTGCTGTAATGAGTAATGATTGTTTTGTGTTACAGCCTACTTGGAGTATTGTAGACCCCATCTGCACATTTTTGTTTGCTATTCTAGTCCTGTTCACAACGGTGGCCATCATTAAAGATGTAATGAATGTTCTTATGGAAGGAATACCGAAGGGTTTCGAGTACTCAAGTGTCGAGAGTACATTCATGGGAATCGAAGGGGTCGTCAAAGTGCATAATTTGAGAATTTGGGCATTGTCACTCGATAAAACGGCCCTTTCCGCGCATCTTGCTATCAGTAATTTTTT